TGAACAATGAACGAAATTTTAAATAAATACATGTTATTAATATAAAGCAAGTTTTTTCTAACATTATTATTTATTGATCTTATAGAATCTATATAAAATACATATAATATTGAAAGCTCGTTTTAATAAATTCATAATGAACAATTTAACAAAAGCTGTTTTACGAGCTAAGTATTGGATGGAATTTATTTTAAATTATACATCTATAATCCTGAGATGTGGGACGTTTCGACGCTAACTTGCGTCTCTTCAGCCACAATATATTAAATTTACAAAAAGTTGTTACAGCATCACTTCTTCTTTACAGTGTCAAAGTATAGACAGATGTCATTTGAATGTATCTTTACTTTAATAAAAACGACATATAGGTTCTTAGAGTGTCACACATTTTTAACACAACTTATATACACCTTCATACCTCGAAAGACAGATCATTGCGTATCTGTCCTATATGTCGTATTTATTAAAGTAAAAATACATTCAAATGACATCTGTCTATACTTTGACACTGTAAAGAAGAAGTGATGCTGTAACAACTTTTTGTAAATTTAATATATTGTGGCGAAACGTCCTACATCTCAAGATTATAGATGTATAATTTAAAATAAATTCTATTAAATACTTAGCTCGTAAAACAGCTTTTGTAAGTTGTTCATTATTAATTTATAGAATCTAGTTTGTTTCTTCCTTATATCTATTTTTTATTTATATATATATAATATATATATATATATATTTATATGTTTATTATATTTTATTTTTATACATTTATTTATACATATATACATATTTATTTAATTATATATATATATATATATATATATATATATATTTTTATTTATTTTACTTATATATATATATGTATATTATTTTTTAATTATATCTACATATTTCAATTTTTCGTCTTATATATTTTTGATTATCCTTTAAAAAATATATGTAAGAAATATTTATGCATTCTTGAAAAAGTTTTATTAAACTTAGATTTTTTTAGCATTAACTTTTTGTGTAACGCTATATTGAAATTCTTACGCGCGGCCTTACATCTCGTCGTGGGTGAATTCCTCTTACAGGTTGACATTTGTCGCGCTTCGTAGTGACGCAGGCTTTTATCAGAGTTCGCACAGCTACAAGCGACGACAAACGTCAAACCTGTAAGAGGAATTCAGTCACAACGAGATATAAGGTCGCCCGTAAGAATTTCAATTTAGACTCAGACCGCCGTAGAGCATTGTACAAAAAGTTAATAGTACTAAAGTCAAATTAATAAGATATTCAACAGATAAGCCTCTCTAGAGAATATCGATTACTTTGGTTGGCGGATTGAATAAAAAATAATATTTAAAAGCATTCATTTTTTTTAAGTTAAAAACCTCGAAGTGAGATTCAACTTTAGGGAGCCAGAGAAGGTTTTAATAAGAATCTCGAATTAGAGAATAAACTTTCAAGGAGGATGGAGGATTTTAATTAAAAATTAGAGATTTAACTTTAGAGAGAAAAGAGAGATTTAATAAAAATGTCGAGTTAGAAATTTATTTAATTTCTTAGTATCACACCAAGAAAAATTAATATCTTGCATATATGTGTCCAATATATCAATTTTGAATGAAAATTAATTCTTTCCTGAAACTGATGCACTAACATTTGCATTTGGCTTTTATTTGTTCAATTTAAATAATAAAATTTATTTGATTTTACGAAAAAGAATTTTAATAAACTTTGCGTTCAAAATATTTAAATTGAAATACAGACAGTATATAATGAATTATAAATGTCTTTCTCTCGCACGGAAAAAGTGGAATTGTTGAGTCAGCAAAACTAGAATTTACTATATAAATTTAATATTTGTATCTAAAAACAATTATCAACATGCTGATACCATAAATTTATTATAATCTTAGTAATGCAAATTATTTAATATAAAAACTAATATTTAAAAAATACCATAATTTTAATAAAAATTAATGCTTATATATTAAATAGTTGAAGACATCTATTTATTCAATTTTATATAAACAATTACTTTTTAACAGATTTAATTAGATTTTTTAATTTTGAATAATAATTTCGGATAAAAAAACAATATTTATTAAAATTAAAGATCTCGAATTGAGATTTATCTAATTTTCTTGGCATCGCATCAAGAAAAATTAGTGTGCACGAGAAATTAATTCTCGCTTGAAACTGACATTTGGCTCTGTATAATTTAATTGAAATCTGATTTTTATATCAAGAGTCTCTAAAGTCTCTTAGTTGCGAATTTCACCTCCAGTCACAGTATAATTTATGGATTGTTTCCGCTCATGACACCAAATAGTACAAAGCAATTAGAAATTCCCACGTTTGACAGCGCGTCATTAAGTGATTACCGGAAGCCGCTTACGTACGCGCGGCGGCTTTGGAAAGGCATTCGCGAGCTCGCTCGCATCGAGACTACAGATTTCATGGAAGCCTCGTTTGTGCTTCCGGTGCTGCGGTGCGCCACAACGATCGGCCCGGGGACTCTGAATTCGCGAAACATTTCAATTTCATCCGTGTCCTGCGAGATGCCACGATGCGACCAGCATTCGCGAAATTCTGCCGTCGAAAATGATGTATTGAAAATACGAGTCAATTCACTCTCTCTCTCTCGAAGTTCGCCGAACATATTTTGTCAAATTTATCGTATTAATATATTCTTTCTTGACAGAGAAAACCTTTACTTTCCTCTTGAATATACTTAATTTTTTGCCGAATATTAAAGAACCTCTTTTTCGAAATTATTTTTCTACATTATACCAAATTAATATTTATAAATCAGAAGTAATAATGATTTGGAATTATGCATGATACAAGTGAAATTGATACGATAGATATTAATGACGTATTAATATAACAATTAATGCGTCTATCAACGGAAGGTGTTAGCCATTAATAATGTAAATCTCTCCTGCACACAATTATGAGTGATATATTAATGAATCCTAAATTCTGCATCGCATTTAGCGGCTTATGCTATTGTTTGAGACTATAGAATCTATTGATCGAGTTATATTAAATTTTAATTAGTATATTTTTCACTGATTTTTAATTACCTGGATTAAAAACCTGGATTAACTACCTGGAATACGGTGGATTCGGAGTTACAGAAACAATTGAATCAAGCTGTTAATAACTCGACTTCTCTATTCGAGTCAAAGGTCAAGAGTCATGCTTGACCCGAGAAGTTACTATGGTGCATCCAATCGCGAGAAACATATTGTATCATCGATCTATTTGCGAACACGAGAGAGCCATTTATTATTCCACACGAGGGATTCTGCAATCGTTTGAGTAAATTAGCATTTCTGGAAATTATACGATAACCATAGAGTCTCATTGATCGCCGTCAAAGGGCTCCACTTTGATTTCGAACCCTGACTAATAATTCCAACTCGAGAGATTCGCACGTATTATAGATAAATGAAATTATCTTCTGATTAAGATAATCAAGAATCGTAGATATGCAGAGAATATCTTATGCAGATGAGATCATATTTTTTTTTAAAAATGTCTTTCTCTGTTTTAATAAAATTTCGGAAAATGTATCTTTCTCGAGATATCTCATTCTTACATGGTATGTTCATAAAATTTGCTGTTTCTTGATTCTTTGTGCAAAAATTTTTATTCTAATATAATTAAATTTAATATTTACACACATTAAATATATAAACATTAATGTCTATTTTATTTACGTCAAAGCTTTACTAAAAGAATTTATTTAACGTCAACTTAAATAAATTTTCTCTCTCTCTTATAAATAATCAAATAGTAGATTTGCATACTGATATTTCAAGTTTGTCATTAAAATTTGAATTCAGTTCCATTCCTTAAACAGACGAAGAAGTTAAAAGAAAAGTGAGATCCATCCCTTCGAAAATTTTGATTTACGCCTGAATGTTTCAATCCTCCGAATTGAAATGTCGTAAAATGAAAAATTCGCGCGAAAATGGCATCGAGATTTTCTCAGAGGCGCTTCTCTGCCTATCCTTGCCTACCTTTCCAATTTCGTAGTCCGGGGAAATAGCGTCTTACTTATCCCGGAGTTACTCCTAATGCGACTGCGAAAGAAATACGACTCTACGTGTCCCGGGTGTTTCTCTCTGTTTCGCAATTCCAGTGATTCGTGCCGCGACTTCGAAGGCGCGTTTGACGCGTGCAAACTTCTTGAATAGACGTAGGCGATTTCACTGCGACGTGTAGAGCTTTTCGTACATTCGCTACACAATAACGGATTTATATAATAATATGCAGCAAAGTCGCGGAAACTTTTATCTCGTCATGGATTTGCTCGTTTTACTTCGGCGCTCATTAACGTCGTCGATTGTCTCGCGAAAATGATAAATTGCGAGTCGACAGAGTCGAACTTTCATGCAATCTCTTTAAAAAAAATGTTGTTTCAAGTAGTTTTGTGGCTTTAAATATCTCTGAAATTTAACTAAGAGTTTAGCCTTTTTTTATTTTAAAAAGAAAAATTAAAAAATCGTAGATTTTATACACGTGGATATCTATCATCCATTAAAAAAAAAAACAAATTAAAATATAAAGACACATGTTACAAACATATTATTTATTTAAATACATGTCTCAATCATTGAACTTAATTTAAAAAAAATTATAGACATATAAGAAAAACGAAAAAATTGCAGATTTGACCACGTGGCTGAGTAATGTCATCCATTTTTAAAAAACGAATTAAAATATAAAGATACATGTTGTGGACATATTATTTATTTAAATACATGTCTCAATCATCAAACTTAACTTAAAAAAAATTATAGACATATAAGAAGAACGAAAAAATTGCAGATTTGACCACGTGGCTGACTAATGTCATCCGCGCGACCACGTGGTTGACTAATGTCATCCGCGCGACAGGTTTAAAGTACTAATAAGACTAAGCGGATTAATTATGAACTCGCGCATGCGTCTCTTTCCATTTCATTTTCACTTACATTTCCTTGAACGTTTTCTGCTTGCAGGCAAAATTCCGCATGATGGTGGAGGAGAACGCAGCGACCGGCGCCGGCTTGACGGCGAGCTGGAACGCGCCAGGGGCGAATGCGCGACTCTTCGGGGTGAGTTGCGCGATGTCCGCGGCGCTCTGCCGATCGTACTGAACAACAACAACGCCGGCAACAACGGCGGCGCCAACAGCAACAACAACCCCGGTACGGCGACCGCTGCTTCCGCTGGGAACCCCGGCCAAGAAGCCGAGGTTCAGGAGGACGCCAAGCTACTCAGCGCGGCAGCAGCCCGATCGAGAAGAGGAGCTCGGCCAGACGACAAATCCGCCAGTCCCATCGACAAGAGGACCAGTCCGGTACCCGACAGGAAGGATAGAACCAGCCCCGTCGATCGGCGAGCCAGTCCCATAGGTCATAGCACGATTTTTAAACTCTTCTGTCAACACATTTTTCACCTTTTCATTTAATATACGGGTACCCAGTTTACAAAGATTTTTTGTATTTTATTTGTCGAGTTGGAGAAAAATCCAACACATTTTTTCTATCTATTGACGAAAAGGATTATAATTTATTCGCACTGATTTTTTATTATATATATTTTTCTCTCCCTTTAAAAAATCACACAGCGAATTACTTAAATTTATCGCGAGCAAGTAACTCGCTCGGAATACGATTAGTAACGTAAGAAGCCGCAGATGAAAGGATATTCGCGCCGGTGGAATTCTCTCGCGTCGAAGATCTCTTCCCGCGGGAGAGCTTCTGCGGTAAAAGGCAGGAGGTTGAATGTTGAAAGTTTATTTCGCGAAAGTATTTTCATAAAGACAGCTCTCCGGAAATGCGCTTAAGGTGGGCGGAAAGTTATCGACTTGGCACGGGCTTCGGCGGATAAGACTTTTTAAGAAGTTGGCGGAGAATGAAATTTTAAGACGGCCGACGCGCGGCCCACGAATGTTTTCCGCATTCCACGTTTATCTTAACTTCTCCCGCCTGAGTGTATCCTGTATATCTCGCAGTTACGTACTGTTACTTTTTATTATCGGCCATGATTCATAGTTTTCCCCGCGGCTTAAAATCTGAGAAATATCGCGAACTAGCAACCTTTTAAATACTTTGCGGTTCCTAAGAACTCAATTTTTATGACGAATGTTGGATGTTATTCCGTGAAATATCGCATAGAATCTCAGTCTCGCTTTGTCTAAGTATGTCCGATTATTCGCGTTTTCATTATTTATACGTTCGTTCAATTATCACATCTCTATGCATTAATATTGTATGATTTTTATTAACATTCTATGAATATTTCAATTCATTGTCGGTTTAAAAAACAAATTTCAAACGGGGCCGAATATATGTATTATATTTCGATGCTATTGTAGATTCTGTATAACTTTGTCTGTTCGGATCATTCGCGATTTTCCACTTTTTAATAATATACTCGTTCAATTACATATCCGTCCATGCAATAATATGTATGACTTTTATTAACATTTTATGAATTTTTCAATTCGCTGTCGGCTTGAAAAGAAGTTTTAACATGGCGCTGAATTACATATACTATATACAGAATATGATTCTAAGTAAATACGATAAATTTAGAAGATCATTTTTGTAAAAAATTAAGTGAGATCTTTTATATAAAAATATGTTTCTACATCTCTCTCTGAAGAGTTACACTCTTACAAATAAGAGAAGATAAAAACCAGATTTTAATTTTTTTTTTCAAATTTTGGATAAATAAAAAAAAATAAAATGGTGGATAATTTTTTTTTAGTAAAAAAAAAGAAATTTATTAATATATTTTTTTTAATCCTTTCGTATCATTTATGGGAGTAAAATAGCAATCCCTATTCAATTTTGTATTAGAATTTTTTATTTTATTAGAAAACTTTTTTATTTCTTTTACTTTGTCGTAAAATTAATAGTTTGCAAGAAAAATTTAAAATATCAAGCACAGTTTAACAAAAAATGCAAGCAAAACAAAAATCTAATAAAGTTGGAAAAATCTAATTTTTATCTCCTCTTTGGAAGAGAGTGTAATTCTTTAGGGAAGGAAATATATTTCTATGAAAAATCCCTTCTTGATTTTTTACAAGAGCCTAAAATTTGTCTCACTTATTTAGACTCACTTATACATTATACAATATTTCGATGCGAAAAACGCGTTGACGGAAGATATCTGCTGCGAAAGATCAAAGACACGACGTGTACATTATGCAACTCGTGTCCGCTTTTCTCTCTCTCTCTCTCCTTTTTTCGTGGAGAAGGGCAGATGCCAACAGGCCCACTTAAGGGAGAGTGACCCGCGTGTACATGCAAATTCGGGACGAAGTACCCGTCGTCGTCTCGAGTCGATCGATCATGCGCTTCGAATTCATCTTATCGAGTTCGGTGCATCCTTCTTCTCGGGTTCGAACGCCGCATTCCGATAAAGACTCTGGCTTCATTCCAGCGATTTCTCTCCCGCCAATATATATAAGTTGTTCCCATCTCTCCCTCGTCTCCTATCTCGCCGCTCATTTCGAGAGTCCCTCTTGAATCGAGCTTTGTACGAAATCGTATTTACCGAAGAGATATCGTTATTTATAAGAGAATAATGCGGCTATGAAATGTGGTCGGGATTGAATTATATTTCGCATTAAATTCGTTGTTCGTTTGAAACTAATTAGTTTCGCGATTTAAATTGCACGCTGATTGCAAATAGGCTTTTCCATAAATCCGTCGTGCGGCTAATTGAATGAAACACACCAAACTTATACGCGACATGATACATAATTATGATACGATCTGTTATTCGAATAAAATTCATGCGTTCTATAGGAACAGACGATAGTGAAACTTTAATTTTTTAATTTTCAGAAAGAGAATCATCATTCATATTTAATCATTTATTTTGTATATTATATTTTATTAGTTATTTATTCTATTTTATATTATATATTATATATTTTATTATTTATTTTGTCTATATATAATTAATTATTATGTATATATATATATATATATACATATATTATTTCATACATAACTATGTATAACTATAATACACAATTATATGTATATGCGTGTAAAAGAAAAAAAAAGGATATTTATTTTTTTATATTTCGGAGTATCTGAATAATTTTATAAAACTCTTAAAAAATCATGCATAAATAAACATTTTATAAAAACTTATTTATCTCGAAAAAAATGCGGAATAAGGAGGTGTCAATCTCATTTCTCGGCAGAACGAAGAAATGGCTCGCCCTGTCGTAGTCCGAGCGAGAAGGCCCGTACTCGACCTTACGCCCCGGCTCTGGAGAAGACGCGGCTGGGTGGTTCCGGAGGTAGCATGGACTCCCGATCGGGTAGCGCGAGCCCGGATCGAGGCTCGGCGAACCGAGGAGGCGGCTTCCTGCACCGCGGCGGCAGCGATCGTTCCAGCGTGGAGCGGCTCCGGATATCGACTAACCGCGATTCTCTGCGATCCAGCAAGGAGATGAACGACCACGACCAGAAGGACGCCGATAAGGATCTGATCGACGGGGACGCGCGTGGCGACGAGGACAATGAACCGCCCGGACCGGCACCGAGCAGCAGACCGTCATCCCCGGCTAATTCCCTCGGTACGGGTGCCGACCGTATAATTAATGGCGGCGGTTATTAATCGATTCATCTTTTTTCGCTTCTTATTAAATGCGCGGATTATTATTTTTCATTTCTTACATTTATTTTATACGAATTTTTTTTATAAATTATTTATAAAATAATTCTTAATTTAATATATTTTATAAATTATTTATAAAATAATTCTTAATTTAATATATTTTTATAAATTATTTGTAAAATAATTTTGAATTTAAGGGGATTCCCTAAACGTTTCTTGAAAGTCTGTGATTTCCGTCCTGTTTTATCGACAAATATGAGCTTACAGAGATAACTATAAATCTATTGATTGGCTATGCTGTAGGGATTGTTTTTACCTGAAATTAGAGCGTTTCGCCCTTTGTTAATATTAAAATACTTTAATTTGTACAGAAAAAGATTTATCATCTGTACAGTCTCATATATCTTGATTACAGAATTATGAATGCTTAGAATTCATAATTCTGTAATCAAGATATATGAGACTATACAGACTGATAAAATCATTTTCCTGCACAAATCAAAATATTAATATCAACAAAGACGAAGCGCTCTAATTTCATGTAAAAACAATCCGTATAGCTAATAAATATAGATTTATAGTTTACCTAACTTCCCATTTTGTCGATAAAACAGGAAAACACCAACAGACTTGTCAAGACGTTTAGCACCCCCTTATATAGTGTTATAAATTATTATTTTCTAGAAAAATTACTTAGATACAATTGTGACTTACAGAGGAGACTGATTTGCTCTTATCGTTTCCCCGACGTCCAGGAATCGGCGATCGGTGGTGGCGTCCAGACTCTCCAACCTCCACGGCGGCGGACACACGGAGCTGGCCAGCGCCAGGAGACTGCGATTGGAGAACGAGCGGCTGGTGACCGAGGTCGCGAGCTGAGGAGGCTGTTGCTGAGCGGCGCGCACGCGGCGAGGTCGGCGCCGAGGACGCCGCGATGGAGGAGGAGGCCCGCTTCGTCGCCCTGGAAATGGAGCTGCAGCACGCGAAGGAAGCGCTGCAGGCGCTGAAGACCGACCGAAGCGGCTCAAGCGGAGAAGTTTCGACCTTCTCAATCAGATGAAGGCGCTCTACGGCACCCTCGAGACAAGGAGCGCGAGCTCCGCGATTTTATACGAAATTACGAACAGGTGAGTCGCAATTTTTTGTTCGTATTCTTTGCACGGTCCCCTTCAATATTTCTCTTATTTTAATCATTTTAATATAATATAATTTTAATATATATATATTATATTTTAATTTTATTATTATTAATATTAGGTAATATTAATAAAATTAAATTATATCAATATTAATATTTTAATATTTAATATTTTTATATATCTATAGAGTATATCTCTATATATAAATAAATATCTTATAATATATTAATATTTAATTATTTCAATAATATTGTTTATATCCGGCTAATGAGTCTTAATTGTTATTACGTAATTGCATTGCATATGTCTCTTGGAAAATCTTTTCTCTTGTTATTTAAATAACGCCTTTTTATTTTATAATTTAAATGTATTATAAATAGATCTATATATATATATACTAAATTTATTATTTTAATAATATCGTTATATCCAGCTATATAATGTTTATTACGTAATCGCATTTCTGTCTCTTGAAAATATTTTCTCCTTGTTATTTCAATAACACTTTTATTTAATAATTTTAATATCTAATTTATATAATGTATAACATACAATATTTTAATCATTTTAATAATCGTTATATGGAAAATGATGATTGCGAAAAGTAGGACGAACAAGTGGTGTCTTGCAGTCAAATAATCATTTTGCTTCGATAAATCATTTAACAGCTTATTATATCATCAAAGAAATTTCTCATTCAAGATAGTTATAATTTCAAATTTATAAAGAAGATTCCAATGGAATCGTTAGAATCGAAGCTATTGAGAAGGTTCTATAATTCTTTCTGACAAGAATGTTCTAAAATTGGTTTTCAATTCGTTGAAAATATAATCGACGGCACAAATTTCTTTCTCTGCGAAAATAATATTCCTATAATTTATGTTGGATGGGATTAAGGGAGATTTTTAACGCACGTTTCGTTCGTGCCGGCTCGCGTCATCTAACTTATTTGGTAGAAGTCACGTTCGAGAATTTTAATCGCGACACTTTTACATTCCGCGAACGTGGACGCAGTAAACAGTCGAGAAGTAACTCTAATGCCTCTCCGTTCGCAATTTGCATGTTTCATATAGACGGATCGATTCTCGATGGAGAAGTCGCGGTGATGAATTAAGGAAATGCGAACGGCTGTGAAACCGATATTTATGAACATTCGAAATTGCCTCGGCGTCGCTGTAATTTTCTCTCTTTTTCTAATTCATCTTTCCACTACTTACATAACGTAAAAAAAAAAAAATAAACGCGGGAAAAATAAGTTGACGTATATTTGTTATAAAATAGATGAGTATATTTAATTAAATAACGTATTGAGACGAGCAAATAATAGAATTTTAATTAAATTATTTGGACTAATTTAATTATATATAGACTTTCCTAAAGTGGATAAATATTGCAATAATTTAATCGTTCGAATAATAATTTAATTATTGCAATATCCGCTTTAAGATATTTTACCTTCGTGGATTTTATAATTCCGGCAGTGCTTGAAATAGCATTAGCGAGAGAAAGAGAGGCTACTTTTTTTCTTCAGGGTAACATATTAATTGCCGCAGGCATAAAGAGACGACGCTACGTCGAGCGTGTCGTTAACATTTATAAATATCCTTTGAAATCGTTTTGTGCCCAGACGCTTTGCATTTCCACAACCTTTAACACGTAGCTATACTTATTAGCGATGCACACTGTTTCTAATTTTGAATTCTTCGAAATCTTAATGAGAACATGATACAGATAAAATTCCACCATTATTCTTCGGGAAAAAAATTTCACCCAGATTTGAAAGATCTTCGCGAAAGGGCTCGGGAAAAAATTTTTATATGTATTTATATATAAATAATTGCATAATTATACATATAATCGTAAAATTATATGTAAAATATGTCTATTTTTATACATAATTATATAAATTTATATATAAATTATAAATTATTATATATAAATTATAATTCATATATAATCATGTCAAATTATATATGAAACATATATATTTATTATATATAAAAAGCACTTCTTTAATTATGTATGAACATATTTCATATATAATTTTGCGATTATCTGTATATAATTTTATATATTTCTATATAATTTTATATTGTTATATATAAGAAAAATTTCCGGAAGAAATAAAGAGGAACTTGATCTCGCCCGTTTCGTTATCCTAATTTAGGTCGTTCGAAAAAAATGCGACAGGACTTGACACGAAGTGAGCGATTTAACTATTAAAGCGTAACAAAATCCTTGCTAAAGCGGCCAGCTAATGAAAATTGAGAACAACGCGAGAACGAACCAGCAAAACCGCTCCGCGGTGGATTTTAATTTCGCTTCTAATGCGTCTTTATGAAGCGACATGGAAATATCGAGAGAGAGAGAAAAAAGCCCGGAGGGTCTCCCTAGAGAGAGAGAGAGAGAGAGAGCCGCTGTGTGGAAATCTAGTTAAAAAACTTTTATATACAACGCGATCGGGACCGCTCTGGGCAATTAATCAGTAATTGACTCGTTATTTGAAACTTGATTAAACCGCGAGTGCGCAACAGAAATATCTTTTACAGCTGCCTGCGTTGTCAAATGTGTATTGAATATTAAAAAATATTACGGTGAAAAAAAGAGAATTATCGAAAAGGAGGAATAGTAAATTTCGAGAGATTACACATTGGTTCAACAAAAAGTGACTTTTCGAACCCCCGAACGAGACTAATCGTTTCTTATAATTCTTTGGATGCTGAATCCGATTTCTAAATTGCTTCATTACGTCACAATTTTGAGAATAAATTTTTAATTGAAATTGCATAAAGGACTATTTTTACGAACTTCGTTGTATATTAAAATAATAAATTAAAATAATGAAAAAATAATATAATTATATAATATGTGACGTGCTGTTGGAGAAGTTTTATTGCAATCAAAATAAAGTATGTTGTTTAAGACTTTTAACTGTCAAAAGGAATTTTTGGTGTCGGTTTTGATTAATAAGATATCCATGGTTAAATATAAACTGTGTTGCGGAAATTAGCTGCGACTTAGGTCATTGATGATTTACGAAATAGCTTTTAAGAATTTTTTAGATCATTGAATACGAATTCAATATCAAAATTGGTCAAATTCAAAATTGTACTTAATATGAGGATGTAAAAATTTAAAAAAATGCTTTTTTTTATATGAATCCGTTATATTGAGTCCACTATTATTCTAAATTATTTTAAATTCACAAGCTAACTTCCGTAATACATCTCATTTAACCATGAATATTTTATTGACCATAACATCAAAAATTCCTTTCGAAGATTGAAAGTCCTAATATAACAATATACTTTATTTTGATTGCAATAAAATTTCTCTAGCACGTCACATATTGTAACTATAATATAATAAAATTCGAAAAAAACCCTTTTTTGCAACTTTAATTAAAAATATAATTTTATAAATATGTCAGCTGTAGGAGCCTGTAACGCGATGTCTTTTGCGTTGGTTATTGCAAAAATTAATTAGCGAAAAAATCAATTTTCGCAATTACAGCCGACATATTTGTAAAGTTATATGTTGATTTCGAGAGCCAAATAATATTCTTAATATTATATAACTAAATCGGCCACGCAGCCAAACACGCGAAAATAAAATATTTTTTCGCGGATTTTTAAACCTGACAGATTGTCATTGGATATTAATTTTATCCGATTTCGTTATATTATATTGATATTTCGGAGAGCCGACTACAATGTGTTAAGATTCTTAATATTGTTTAATTAAAAATTTCTCAAAATTGTGACAAGATGGAATAATTTATTCAGCCTCCAAAAACTTATAAGAAACGAGTAGTCTTGTTCTGGTTAATTTTTTTTGTTGAACAGTCCGACAGTCGTCCGACCGCTGGTTTCAATCTTCCTGTGCACGCATGTCGGTACACGACGGCAATTTTGCCTGTTAAATACTTTCATTAAACTTGCCGGAATTTCTCATTTTCCCGAGACCGTTATGACCGAGTCGCGCGAGGTCGCAGTCATTTCAACTACGTTAAACGAACAACGGCGCCGATGAATGTCACCGGTCTCCGGTGCACACACCAGGTGCATCGGACGCGTAATCTTTCAATTTCGTTGCTATTTTTAACAAAAAAAAAGGGCGATCGATATTGAAAAGAAGCTCGCACCAATCCTGTATGAAATTGGATTTCAGTTAATCAGCTGGTTTTCTCATATGTTCTAACTTATGGCCTCCTGAACAAAAAATGTAATAGCCTTGAAGATTAATAATGAACAATTACTGAGCTGGAATTAGACAAACAAAAAATTGATTATAAATGGCTTCAACAAGATCCAATTTTTTATAAAATTGATGCAGGGTCTTTAAATCTATACAATTCTATACAATGAAATAAAATTGAATCCCGATAAAATCAGTTGGTTTTCTCGTATATTGTAAATACTGCGAACAAAAAATAGATCCAAATCAGTTAAACATGAAAAATTATCTGCGAGTTGATTGACTGACTTTTAACTTTGAGCTATTACATTTTTGTTCAACAGGTTATAAGCTACAACATGAAAGAATCAGCTGATTTAACCGAAATCCAATTTTATCTTAGCGCTGAGCTTTTTAGAAACACGTCTTATTTTGACAAAGGCATGTACAGTGTTGTGCTTAGATGATTTTAAAATTAGCTATATAAAGATGAGATAAAATATGTAAATTTATCTTAGATAAGATAAAGATAATTTTGTTTTAAATATATCTAGATAAAATATAAAATTAGATATATGGCGATTTATTTATAGATAATAATTTCTAAAACTGCTTATGTAAACACAGTTATAAAAAAATGTAAATATAAATAGGAATATAAAAATATATTCATATTTTTAAATTAATAATAAATTTTTAATAATTTTTTAATAAATAAAATTAATAATAAATTTTCAGTATTTTTTATGACTTTACTTTTTTTCATCTAAGATGCAAATGTAGATAATACATATTTTTTGTTATCTATATAA